AAAATGTGACATCAAGTCACTCCTGACTTATGGTGACCTTTTTTCCAAGGTTTTCTAAGTAGAGGGCACTCAGAAGTGGTTTACCACTCTCTTATTCTGGGGGTGCCCTGAATCTGTGCATCTTGCCCAAGGCCACACTGGTTGGCTCTTGGGGTGCACAGTGGGGAATTGAACTCCTAAACTCTGGCTCTGTAACCAGATAGATACCACATCAAGTCACTCCTGACTTATGGTGACCTTTTTTCCAAGGTTTTCTAAGTAGAGGGCACTCAGAAGTGGTTTACCACTCTCTTATTCTGGGGGTGCCCTGAATCTGTGCATCTTGCCCAAGGCCACACTGGTTGGCTCTTGGGGTGCACAGTGGGGAATTGAACTCCTAAACTCTGGCTCTGTAACCAGATAGATACCTAACTTACTGACCTATCCAGCCAGCTCTATAACCTTTTAACACCTAACCTATTTCCCATTTTTTAAAAAAGGTTACATATTAATATAGGTAAAGGTTCCCCTTGACAATTTTTGTCCAGTCGTGTTCGACTCTAGGGGGTGGTGCTCATCCCCATTTCCAAGCCATAGAGCCAGCGTTTTGTCCAAAGACAATCTTCCGTGGTCACATGGCCAGTGCGACTTAGACACAAATAGCTGTTACCTTCCCACCGAGGTGGTCCCTATTAATCTGCTCGCATTTGCATGCTTTCGAACCACTAGGTTGGTGGGAGCTGGGACAAGCGATGGGCACTCACTCCGTCGCGTGGATTCGATCTTACGATCTGCTGGTCTTCTGACCCTGCAGCACAGGCTTCTGTGGATTAGCCCACAGCGCCACCACCAATATACTGTAAATTTAAAGATTTTGCTTCTTAAGTGTCTATTGTTTATGAGAGGAAAAGTGCAAAGCAAGGCTGGGTGTACGCGCGCACCTCTGCCTCCCTCCACACAGCTGTCTTGCCCCTCCACACAGCTATCATGTAGGTTCCAATTGCGATGGAACCCTGCGTGTGGAGGGGGCGGAGTTGCGCACATAGGAGCAAAGTTGTGCGAGAAAGAGGCAGAGCCCCGCCCCAGCCGAGCTGAAAATAAGAGGGTACGTTGGTGCAGAATCTTGACTTTAGCCTAACACAAAAATCTGTCAGAACTATTAGATGTTAAATCACCTAAAACTTGAATTTGCTCTATTTAAAATCACACTTCCTATTAACAGAGATTTTGAATGTTTTTGAACCATGTTGTTACATCACAGGAGTTAAAAGAAACCATTATCAATATGATGCTGGGTCCAAAGTCCTGTCATCCCTAGTGTCACTCTGCCACCTTCCTTCCTAAGTTTTAACTACACAGCACATTTTCTTAATTGTAGCCTGAAATGAATTTTTATTTAGTCAAGGTAAGAGTAATTTCTTGTTCTTTAATCAGTTCTCTTAAGAATACAGTAAGCAGTTATCTAAAGAATGGAGTATAAAGTTAGGCTGGACCCCAAAGGGATGCACACAAACAGCTGTGGAAATAAACACCACCCATTCATACAAGAGTACGCAAGGCCAGCCATTCTCAACAGGGGCTATAGGGCAGTCCCTGGCATATTTGCAGGGTGCCACAGACTAAAAAAAATATGAGAAGGGAATTTTCTATTGATTTGTTTGTGTTGTATCCTTGTTTGACAAGGGCCCTGGAACCTGAGAAGAGCTCCTAAATAGGCCATGGCAAAAAAAGAAAAAAAAAGAGGTTGAGAATGGCTGTTCTAGGCCTCTTCAGACTCCACTTATGAGAGGCAGAGAACCCTCTGGATCAGGATGTGCATCCATGCAAAGGGCTGCAACAAAATCACATTTGGGAGATCTCTTTGTACCCAAGTGATTTTGACACAGGCATTGGATCTCTGGATCCTGACTTGATATTGCAATTCTCAGCACACCTGAAACCACTGAAATCAATATGATATTAGAAGAGCAAATGCTTCAGATCACAATGGCTAAAATCTCACTGGTTAATTATATCAGCATAAGTGCAATGGTGTAAACTACATCGGTAACTTGTCACTAGTTGACAAGCTGCTGCTTTTCTTTCTCATTGTAGGCCAGTTGCATGGGCTGGAGCACAATAAAGGGATACCATGGCAACTTGTTAACTAGCAGCAGTTCAGGGCTATAATTTACATCGTTGCACATGTTACTGAGTTATTTCCAGCAGGAATCTGGCCGCTAAAAGACATCAGTTCTTTCAGAAATCTACATTTTATAGAAGGTTATTAAACAGCGGAACTGATAAAGGTCTATTTTCCTCATCTGGAAACTGCCAGTAAAAGGCAGACTTAGAATTGCTGACCAACATAACTATACATTTCACAGAAGGTGCCATCATGCTGATTATACCATATACAAACCACTTCATCCTTCCAGCGATGCTGTAGAAGCTCTTTGTGAAGAAAAAGTTGATCATACATTTAAAAAATATATTCCCTCCCATGAGGGAGGGGCAGAGTTTTAAAAGGGATAAGAGGTCAGGATTACCAAGATTCTTAAAATTCACAAAGATTCTGAACTGGGTGTCACATTCCACAGTCTGAAGCCAAATAAACACTTAAATGTCTCAGTTATTATAAAAGCAGACAAGACAGTTAGTTTTGTTTGGTTCCTTTATTTCCTTCCCTCCCCATGTCTCACACATGGAACTGTACACTACTCGCATTACGATTTCAGTGCATTTCACAGCAAGAAAAAGTACAAGGGTGTTTCAAGACATGTGCATAAAAACTTGAACTTTTTTGTCTGTATGCATTTTAGCTTTTGTGGAAAATGAGGATGGTTACTTAATCACTTGAGGATGTGTTCAGATACTTCCCTGAATATGGACCAAAAAAATTAAAAAAAATAAAACACCTGACTAGCACACACAGTTCATAAATGTTCATGATGGTAGGGAGAGGCCCCGCTGTTGACAAGAAATGGAGATGTCAGATTACGGTATATACACTGATTGGAAGACTACATCAGAAGATACAGAGTAAGGCACCACTCTTAGAAAAATTAAGGTAGCTTGTAGTAGTAACAAGAATGAAAGCCATAAATCAGTTCTATTCTTAATTGCCAGCAATTCATAGACTTCAATAAAATATTGGTATCATAAAAAAACCAAGAACATTTTTTACCAGAACATGGTTTCCTGATATCAGATTGCATTTGTTTAAGTATGCAGTCCCATAGCAAAAAAACAAGTCTTTTCAGATACTATAGAAAACCAAAGTCCTTGTACTCAATGGGCACACAGAGATGTTTGTTTGATGTTGAATATACAGTGAAGGCAAATGAAATTACTTGCCTGGACACCCAATAATACTGACTCAGTGTCAGAGATGGTCCAAGGAGAAGGGAGAGTGGGAGCGGAGACATGAAGGACATTAATCTGACTTTTTCTAAAAGGTTGGATCATTTGGATCTAGGCCTTAGTCTTCAAAGAGGCATAACATTTTGCAGTATTTACAGTATGAAGCACATATTAGCAGTTCACTGCAGAAATGAGGCCAGGAAACAATGTGTTCTCAATTTTACAACCCTGCCCCCATTTTCCTCTTCAGTGAGCTTTTCCAAATATAAAGGGAGGGAAATCCCCATTTAAAATTTTAATGTTTTAAATTTTTTAAGTGGGACTTGTATAAATCCCCTCATTCTACCATGGTTGTGCACAGACTGCCTCTGAAGAACATTTTTTAAAAACTGCCCTGATCCAGAGAGTTCATAACACTGATTCCAAGTTTAAACTTACAAAAAGCTTTCTCTTCAAGGCTTCTATGAGAGCAATTCAGAGCAGCAAAAGGTCTCTTTTTTTTCTCCTTTAGATGGGCACTGAGTAGATCAGAAATCAGTGGAAGCTGAAGCTTCAATTCTGAAACACTGTTCAGGTATTACTCCAGAGATAAATCCACCTGGGCAAAACAGCATAGCAGCACTGAATGCCACTGCTTCTAAGGAGGTTCAAGAAAAAAAAGTTAGGCAGCTTTTGCAAGACATTATGCTTAGAAAGAACATGTTGTTCAGATAAAATCTTGAATACCATATAAAATGTTTCTTTGGGGAGAAGAGGGAACATATCTGGCAATATTTTCTCTACCCCTTTGATTTTCTGCAAAAAGTAAAGTGCCCTAGAAGTTTTACTCCTTTATGCTCATTTAGTTCTGTGCAATTGTATAAAAATCCCAAAAGACTCTTAGTGAGATACAGCATTTTGGAAGTTGCAGGGATTAGACAAATGTAAAGAACAATTCTGAAGAAATGTCAGCTAATTCGTATCCATATCTTGATTTTGCACAGTAGACATTCTTTTCCAAAGGGGGTTATAATAAACCCAGCCATCTCCCTGAAATTCAAATAGAAAACAAGATTACAATGGCAAAGAACAAAAAGTCCATGTAACTTCAACACCAAATACCTATTGTCCTAAAGACCCAATAAATACATACAATTTGGAACATTGCTGACCAAAACACAGAACACAGCCATAGGGCTGGAAAGAACAGCTTGATGGTTCTCATTAGCCATGGCCTACACATGGCTCACCTGTCCAATCTAGATGTCATGGGAGAACTGTGGTCAGTTCAACATTCAAATTAAGATCTCCTCCTTTCAGGTAAGAAAGACGAGAGCAGATGAAATTAATTCAAGATTGATGCATACCATAGCTTGTTCTCATGGAAGGAAAACATGGTTCTCATTAGGTCTGAAAAGGGTCAACATGTTGTGTGGATGTGAAATTATTTTACTTGTCATAATTCACAACAAGAAAGCTGTGTGCTTTCTCCCATGACAACAGAGGTTGTGTTGCGTGTTGATTAAATACAGTACCTAACTCCAGAGGCCCTTGTTCAAATCACACCTCAGTCACAGGCTTAGGACAGTACCCTGTTGAAACATTCATACATGCAATGATAATTGCACAAGCAATTTGCAGCATTTAGTAAGGTGTCTGAGATGCATGCAAGTGGTCAGAGGGTCAGCACTCCGTGAAATGCTGCAAACTATTTACACCAGTGGTTCCCAACCTTTTACGAGACCCTCTTTTATAACAGCCAAGTAACCTAAGCCCCCCCTCCATATTTGCATAAAAAGGTCATCGTTGTCATCCCCCATCAGGGCAGAATTTTCAATGATCCTGCTACTCGCCCTTCTCCTTATTTCACAAGGGCTATGACACATATAAAGTGACCAATGACTCCCCAGAAACTGCTCTGTGACCCCCTTGAGGGTCCCAACCCCCAGGTTGGGAAACACTGGTTTACACAGTACTTGTATGTGCTGATGTTCCAACAAGAAACTAATCATAGTGAGTAACATTAGGTAGTCACACAGTCACACATTCTCTTAGTCACCCCACCATCCATTAGCAATAAGGTGATAATAACAATGCCCCTGCCATATGGGACTGTTACAAGTATAACTCAACTGTCAGTAAGATAAAAGAAGAACCAAACCAAGGTTATAATTCCAAACCTTTCTAGAGGAAATGTAATCTAGGTAGTTTGAGAAATGCACTCAGGATTAAAGGAAATACAGTATGTGAGGCATTCATTAACAGCAGAGCTAAGGAACAAAAGTTCTTAACACAGGAAAAGTCAGTTAGGGGCCACCAGGGTAATGGTGGGGGTGGGTCCACAGTGAGAAATGGGCAGGTTTCATGACACCTCAGAAGAGCAGTGCTTTCTGTCCCTGTGCTATCCCCACCACTTCTTTCATGTAGGCACAAACATTTGCAAAGCAGAAGAGGAAGGAAGGAGTTCCCAGAGGAGCGGTCTAGAGAGGAAGAGGAGACCTGCAACACTTGTATGATCTGGAAGCCACACTGAAGGAAGTTGAAGGTTCTCTGCCCCAGATTTACAGATTGCAATCTCAAAAATGATTCCAGCAAAAGCTATTTACTTTCATGATAGCTGTTTTACAGATAGACTGTGCAGAACAATTCAAATAAATATAGAGAGGGATATAATACAGTCATGCTCCGCTTTACTACTGCCTCGCATGACGACAAAACCGCATTACGACGATCTTTTCGTGATCGCTTTTGCGATCGCAAAACAATGGTCTGAATAGGGGTTTTTCGCTTTGCGATGACCAGTTCCCTGCTTCGGGAACCGATTCTTCGCAAAACAACGATTTTTGGACAGCTGATTGGCGGTTTCAAAATGGCCGCCGAGTAAATAAAATGGCTCCCCGCTGTTTTCTGGGACGGATTCCTCGCTGCACAGGCACCGAAAATGGCCGCCCTATGGAGGATCTTCGCTGGACGGTGAGTTTCCAGCCCACTGGAACACATTGAAGGGGTTTCAATGCGCTTCAATTGGCTTTTTATTATCGCATTACGGCATTTTCGTTCTACAGAGATTTCGCTGGAACGAATTAACGTCGTAATGCGAGGCACCACTCTACTTTAAATGTATAAATGCCACTTCTGGGCAGCACCATTATATCCCATTTCAATGCTGCAAGCCTCAAAACCTTTGCTGGGTAATCAAGATGAGTAAATGTGGAGGAAAACACATGGCAAAAACTCTCTTGGAAGTTAGAAGTCCAGCATGTGTTTAGCCACTTACCTCTTTAACAAAGTACTTAGTATGCCAAGGTGTACCCGTTTCTGCCCGGAGCCTCTCTTCATTTCTCTGCCTCTCCTCCAGTGCTTTCTTATGCTCTGTTGCCTTATCAATATCCCCTTCCCTCAAGGCCTCTGTAACATGTTGCCACAGTTTCCTGAATTCAAAAGGTAGAAGAGGTTCAAGCTCTCTAACTAGGTAAGTGAAATGTCAATAGCTATGGCTTGTTTACAAACAAGGATAATTCACAGTTATAATCTCCAATTAACAAACTGGGAGGGGAATCTGAAAGGCAGGCACAATGAAGTGTCACATTTGAGAAGTGTTTTTCCTTTAGTCAAATCATTTCCAATATTGTTATGAATGTAGTTGTCACTCAGCCAACAAACCAGATGTATGGGACCTCATGTCAGTTCTTAAATGCCCTGTGTTTCTAATGTGACCACAGTGCAGTATACAGTGACTAGCAAATCCTATGGATAGCAAGGGAAAATGTAGTAATTATTTAGGGAAATGACCACACCATTACTGTTCTAGCCAAGGTAATGACAAGTTCAATAGGATAAAGATAGAAACAGACTGTGACATTCATTAAACAAGCAGCAGTTCTGCATAATCTAGGACATAAAGGCACATGCATGAGGGGAGGCACTGTAATCCAGACACAAAGAAATGTGAGGAGGGATATGTATAGTCTGCAAAACTGAAAATTCTATACTAAGGTAATACAGACAAAATATTAAAAAACTGCACAGTTCTGTGACCTTTTTAAATCATGCGGATCAAGCTAGTTGCATAAATTCTAGAATCCTCACATGCAGAACTCTTAACAAGTCACTAGCCATTCTTGTTATGGTTTCTGAGAGCTGAAATCTAAAATATCTGGAGGGCCAAAGGCTGACAACTGCTGTTCTATTACCCTATAAAGAAGAATCTCCAACACCCACATCTTTAATGAATTGTTAATGATATCTTCCATCTTAAAGTGTCCGAATGGTAGGTGAATTTTCCTAAAGTAAATTTTGCACAATAATTCAATGTAGCAGAATATTCAAAAATAGGCCTCCCAAAAGTAAATATGCATTGTCACAAGGAAAGGTAAAACAAAACACCTGCCGATCATCATCTAAACTTGCTCTGGAGAAACTTTACCTATGCCTACCCATCTAGCATCCTATTTCTAGCTGTAATGAGTACTGATTTTTCCTCCAGTGAATTGCAGACATCTATACAGAGCAATAGAAAGAGTGGGAAGAATTATGGGAATAGCTCCTAACCACAAAGGACACTTGGTGATGATAGTATACGAGAAGTAAATCCTTTGTTTTCACCTACTTGTGTTCACTCAACTGATTCATCCAACAAATGTTAAACATTATGCATCTGTCCGCCTCAAGATCAGCATTAATCTTAACTGTTACTTACCACATTTTCTCTTAACCAAGGTGTATGAACTAGCTTTAAACCCAGACAGTATAAAGCATGGATGATAACAAAATAGAAATAATCCAAATTTGATATAGCCATCTGGGAAAATGGAGTTCATGGAAAGAGATGAGGGTGGAGGAAAATCCCATAGCTCTCTAGCACACTTTTACCCACAGAAATTAGGAGCACCAGGGAGGGATCTCCACCACTGTTCTCAACAGTCTGTACCACAAATATTTGGCTTCCGATTAAGAAATCTTCCTATTTTTCAAGCATAAGAAATCCTGCACTAATGAATCCAAATTCATTTTACTGCCAGTCTTCCTTTCACACTAACATAACTTGTTGGTACTTGCAAATGACAAACTTAAGGAACGTATCAACTTTTTAAAGCATGAAACCATTTCTCTGACCTGGACTCAAATGGCCCTTGCTTCTCAATCGGTCGCACTCGTTTTCTTGTCACAGACAGTTTTGTCAAGTCCATATATTTTGTCTCTCCATTGCTGTATGTAAATTCAAGAATACTATTCCATTCACCTTGCACTCTACAAACCACAGTGTTGGTAGCGTTCTGCTTCACCTCACCAGTAACACTAAAAAACAGTAGTTAAAACATGTTGAAAGAAGTTGGGTAATCCATGCTGTATGTATATAATATGACGATTTTCACCATGATAGCCAAGCTTAAAAATGGGTGCTGGGGAAGAGTCCTCGTATACAGCAGGACCTGGGAGGATTAGTACTTCCAGTTTTATTTGCAAGACTGTTTTAGAAATGAAATTTCTACTGTTTTCCTGTGCAACTAAGTTAAAATGGCAAGAATTTAAATTGAAAACAAAAACAATAAAAAGAATCAAAAAGAGCCGAACGATTATTATTGCTTTCTTCTCTTGTGACTTTCTATTTTAGAAATATTATTTCAGCATACTATTCTTGTCAGGCAACTAGTATCAAATAAACCTTCTTGTTCATTGTACTTTTAGCATTAAGTAATAAGCCGCATATTTAAATTGACTCTTTTTAGTTCCACTCCATGCAGAGTCCATAAAAAGACTCAATTTAAGTGTGTGCTGTTCCTCCCTCTGTCTATCTACCTACACTCTCTCAAAGAAATCTCCCTAAAATCATACAATCTTCTATGGGCACTTAAGCCTAAACATATGAGAATCATACTATTCAAAGCAGGTGATAGATAACTCATCTATGGACAACATAATACAACTTGCTCAATAAAATTTGTATGTAACAGAAAATGGCTCTAATTCTCTTGCCTAGTTGTGCTGGTGTAATACAAATGGCATAACTTTTACAAGCAAAATGACTCAAGCTAAGAAATCTCCATAAACATTACTTATTGCCTGCTGAGTCACACGAAAATCTTCTAGCACCATTGTTTCCTATAGCAGTATCAACTAATAGTGGAGTCACTATAACAATGTATCATTCCTCTCTTTACTTGACAAGTGATAACCAAAAATGCCACTGGAAATTTAAACCACATCTGTACATACATATATGACAATATGCATTACACGTAGAACAGTAGTTCCCAAACTTGAGCCCCTGATACTCCAAGAAACCCTGACTATTGGTTATGCTGACTATGATTTCTGGAAACCCATATCTAAGAGGAACTGGGGCCCTAACTTTGAGAATAACTGTAGTAGAACTATGATCCCTTCTCCTCTTGCTTCTCTGCCAAGGGTTAAGAGTCCATGAAAACATGTACACATTTTTAATTGCTGTGTCAAGACATTACTGTCTCTAAAACTTTTCAAAGTACAGCTCTGAACATTTACTTCAGTGTCAGGTTACAACGGGGTTGATTTGGCCAATTATCCATTCAGTCATGAAGTGCACATGATAAACTTGGATCAACCACTCACTTACTCTTAGAACAAGTGATCTCATAGGGTAGTTGTTGTTTTCAGGTTAAAAAAAAATCTCCTTGGAGAACAAGTGGAATAAAAGTGCTTTTAAATTTCCAGCCTTATCCTATTCATGCACTATTGATTTGGGTTTACTAAACGTACAAGAAGGGGTTAAGGAGAGGACAAGTCCAGGCCACGTCTGTTACTACTCAATGACTTTCTACATACTGTATTGATGGCAGCTCTGAAGAGAACAGTCTCCTCTACCTACAGGGTTCTAAAAATAGTGTGGAGAGCTTCCATGGACAAAGAAGGCTCTTCTCATTTCACATCTATGTGTTCAGGGCAAAAGGGACAGACTTATAAGCCTCTCAAAAATTTAATAAGCCCAGATCTTTGACTTGAATACAGTATAACTTGGATAGGGCTGCTCTGAAGTACAATTTTGAACTGTGTGTTCAAGGAGCAAGTTACACAATGGCCAGGATCCTGCCCACTATTGGTCTAGCAATCTTTGCTTTGTTGTTGTTTAGTCGCTTAGTCGTTTCCCACTCTTCGTGACCCCATAGGCCAGAGCATGTCAGGCCCTCCGATCTTCCTCTGCCTCCTGGAGTTGGGTCAAATTCATGATGGTCGCTTCGGTGACACTGTCCAACCATATCATCCTCTGTCGTCCCTTTCTCCTCTTGCCTTCACACGTTGCTAACATCAAGGTCTTCCAAGGAGTCTTCTCTTCTCATGAGATGGCCAAAGTATTGGAGCCTCAGCTTCAGGATCTGTCCTTCCAGTGAGCACTCAGGGTTGATTTCCTTTAGAATGGATAGGTTTGTTCTCTCTGCAGTCCAGGGGACTCTCAAGAGCCTCCTCCAGCACCACAATTCAAAAGCATCAATTCTTCGGCAGTCAGCTTTCTTTATGGTCCAGCTCTCACTTCCATACATCACTACAGGAAAAACCATAGCTTTGACTATTCGGACTTTTGTTGGCAAGGTGATGTCTCTGCTTTTTAAGATGCTGTCAAGGTTTGTCATCACTTTATTTTATTTATTTTATTTATTCAATTTATATCCCGCCTATCTGGTCGATATGACCACTTGCCTCCCAAGAAGCAGGCGTCTTTTAATTTCATGGCTGCTCTCTCCATCTGCAGTGATCATGAAGCCGAAGAAAGTAAAATCTGTCACTGCCTCCATATCTTCCCCTTCTACGTATTTGCCAGGTGGTGATGGGACCAGTGGCCATGATCTTAGTTTTTTTTTATGTTGAGCTTCAGACCATTTTTGGCACTCTCCTCTTTCACCCTCATTACGAGGTTCTTTAATTCCCCCTCACTTTCTGCCATCAGAGTGGTATCATCTGCATATCGGAGGTTGTTGATATTTCTTCTGGCAATCTTAATTCCGGCTTGGGATTCCTCCAGTCCAGCCTTTCGCATGTTGTATTCTGCATATAAGTTAAATAAGCCGGGGGACAATATATAGCCTTGTCGTACTCCTTTCCCAATTTTGAACCAATCAGTTGTTCCATACCCAGTTCTCACTGTTGCTTCCTGTCCTGCGTATAGGTTTCTCAGGAGATAGATAAGGTGATCAGGCACTCCCATTTCTTTAAGGACTTGCCATAGTTTGCTGTGGTTCACACAGTCAAAGGCTTTTGTGTAGTCAATGAAGCAGAAGTAGATGTTTTTCTTTGCTTTACAATTGATCAAACTAGAAGTTACTCTGTTGAAAGCAACTGCGATTACATGGGAATAAGATGATAGTGAATACTCCTTTGCACAACTGGCCTTCAAAGACAACTTGTGTGTGCAAGAAAGCACTGCACAAACAGAAGAAAGCAACAAGATTTGGGCCCGTACAATTCGCTCTCTTTCCCCCCTGCAAGCTGAATTAGCTTTTCTTTGCAGTTTTTTATCAACAAGATTTTGTGATTTGAAGACACTTCTCAAACAGAAGGAAAAGCATTTTATAAAACATTTTAAACTTCCTTTGGCACCTAATCTGCAAGTTTTCATGAGAGGCTTATAACTACTTAATTTGGCCTGGAACAGAATCAACATATTCTTCTATTTCTACTGTTCATCCCAGCATAGGTAAGGAAGATATTTATGATAGCTTTAACAGTACACTCTGTAAAAAGTCTACATAAAGAAATATTTACCGGTGGAGCTTGCCACCATAGAATGGCTTGGTATGAAAAGTTATACTTGCAGAATATCCAGTTTTTGCACAGTTAACACTGACTTTTCCTCCCAGTTCTACCCAAGGAACAGTCAAAATCGACCGAGCGTATGCACAAGGCAGAGAAAATGTGTATTCCTCTCCATGTTCCAGGAGACACAAAATACCTGAAAGACAGAGATAAATATCATACCCACAAGAGTTTAAACAATTCAGATTCCTCACACTTACATTTCAGGATGCAAAGTTATCAAGAAACATTCAAATTAAGCCCATCACCTTTTTTTGTGATATTTATGGCTAACACCTTTAAAGGAAATCCATCCTGTTCTTAGTTTTTTTACAAAATAATTTAGTATAGGCTAGTGGTTCCCAATCTTGGGTAACCCAGGGTATTCTTGGACTACAGTTCCCATATTCCTCACCACCAGCTGAGCTGGGCCAGGGTTCCTGGTAGTTGCAGTTCAAGAAAACCTGGGTTGGTCAAGTTTGGGAACTACTGGGATAGGCTAAAAGGTAAGAGCAGCAGTAGTGTCATTTTTGAACTGACAGGAATATTCAAGTGAACCATGTTCCTGAAAATATCATTATAACTATTAATTGTAACGACACAGGAAAAACTCCTTGCATTTTCCCATTAGGAATAATAATTTAAAAAATCCACCCAAGAGGCAGAAACAGCTCATAGTAGTAATGTAATAGTGAGCTGGCCCCACCAAACATTTTCTCTCTTTTAAAAGAACTCCCTGATATCCATGTCTCACTATATTTTCCCAATAATTCATTGGCCATTCAAATCAGAAAAGCACAACCTTCTATTATAAAAATGCATCCACTGGCAAGATATTGAGCAAAACTAATTTGTGATAGTGCTGATCCCACACTGCACTTCCAAAAGGAAACTATGGAGACTTTATCTTACAATCAGAGGATAACTTTGCATGTAAGTTCTGAAAGTAATGGAAATACATAAGCCAAGGAAAATGTGAGGTGATGGTGAGTAACAAAGATAAAATGCAATGCTTGCTAGGCATCAATAAGCATGGAAGGATCAGGAAGCAGAGATCATATAAGGATATTCAGAACTATCTTCCAGAAATAAAAATTAAAACTTTCTACACGTTTAAAGATTTACAAGGTTACTCAAATTTCTTTTAAAACTTGCTATGGAAGAAGAGAAAAAACACGAGAGGCTGAATGTGTTACAAAGTAAACTGAAACTTCCAAGGAGTTTTTGCTTCTTTCTTCATAATCCACAAAAGTGTTTATTATAGAAAAGCCAGGACTTTGCCCATACAGATACAGTACCTTTATCTGAAGGATCCTCATTGGTCCATGGCAAATACAAGGATGACAATCACAAAACAAACATTTTAAAATGGTAAAACAAAAGAGGAAATAGTACCAATGTAGTTGAACGCTGAGGTAAATTTTATTTTTGGGATGCTGGGGGAAAAGGTGCTTTCCGAAACTGCCCGAGAACAGCTCCCTCTTGTGCTCCTGAGATGGAACCATAAAAAACATTGTGCTTCCCGGCTCTACCCCAGGTCCTAAAAATCCTCCCCTTGGGCTTGCTTTCTTCCAAATGCTTTGACCTACAACTCCCAGCAGCCAAAGTCAGCATGGCCATTGGCGAGAAGTTATGAGAGGCGTACTCCCACACCATGCTCTGCAAAGTTGCAGATCCCAAAATGTACAGACATCATGAAGAAACAGGACTCACTGCCCTAACAAAAAACCAATTAGAAAATAGCAACCAGTCAAACCCATTATATTGCTCCTCACTCAGCATAAGGCTTTACAAAAAACTACTTCTTTGTAGCAAACATTTTGGTTCAGCAGGAGAAAACACTTTGAGACCATGCATTGGAGACACTGGAGAACATCTCTAATGCAGCAGCACCTCTTCACCCCTTCTCACAAACGGAACAGAAAAGTAGGTAGCACAAAGAGTGTTCCTGTTGGTCAGATCAGAAGTAATTTCATCCAGAGCGTCTATTTCATCCAGAGGGCCTGACTCATGATTTCAAAGTAACCTCTAGAATCAAACAAGCTTGCTTATTCCTGAGAAGAGTTTGAACAATTTTCAAGACATTGACACCATTTTATACAGGATGCTCATATTGATCAGTCTTGCATTTCTGATAAGTTCATTACAAAAATGTGAAGCAGTTAATTGGAACATTCTCCACTTACCTTCACCAACCATGGTCACGCCTATTGACATGCCTAAGAATTTACTTTTTGTCCAGACATGAGCGTTAACACACATCTTCCTCTCTACACATTCAGCATAAAACCCTGAGACTGGAGGATGATGAGATACTTGTTCTGCTACGAATTTGACAGTGTAACAGTCTGGTGCTGCTTGGTCCTGTAGCTCTTCCGAGACAGTCCCTTGCTCAGAAAGGGAATGGGATGAAGAGTTACTATTTGTGTCAGATGGTATGTGGCTCTTTGCCATTTTCCACGAGCAGTGAAATGTTTCCCCTATTATCGGGTTGTACGGCTTTTTTGCGATCGCCCCTTTGCGACCTTCATGAAAGGAAGTGAGGTAATACTCCACAAAGCGGATCATCCTCTCTTCTGGGCTTGTGCCATTTGAAATTGCAATGAAGAGATCTGGATGGGACATGAAGTCGGCATACATTTCCAACAAGGAGCGTTTCTCTAAAATAAAAGTGGGAAGAACCACCTGAAATAAAGAGAGATCAGTGTGTTAATTGAATCACTGAATAAAGTGGGGGGAAACCCACCAACCGCAAGCCAAACAATGATGGGGAAAGTGTATAATACATTTTGGTTACAAAATGCATACCTCTGGCACTGACAGGAAAAAGGTTTCTTGTAGAAGATAGTCATGCCACAAATGATGCAATTCGCCATTATTAATTTTTCATATTACTTCGATCATAACATGTGTACAAACCCAGAAGTTAACAAATGCACAGAATAAATCTTGTAAAATGAAGTACAGAATCTTCATCTTTATATTTTTAAACCTAGTTTTCATATATCTGTTACAACATTAGATTCACATTAACTAAAAACCGTATAGAGGAACAACCAGTAAGAGAGATAGAAAACCCACAAAACTTTCTCAGCAGCTAGTTACAAGAGCCCCCTGAAAAGATCAGTGGAACATTCACGATGTGCATGTATTGAAGCTAGCAGTGTAATTTTAAAGTATGGTTAAAGCAGTATGGAATATTGATTTATGTTAATATTTATGCTTAACATTCTATGAAGATTAAATAATGCTGTATACTACACCAAGGCTCCAATACTAGGAAAGGTTGTGAAGGCACAAGGGAAAGAGGAAGTGAGAGACAGACTGATCAAAAACCATAGCCTTCACTTTGCAAGAGCCAACAGACAGTTGATGATAGGATTTTCACCGGTCGCTAATTCATAAAGTCGCCAAAAACCAGAAGTGACTTGATGGCATATAACAACAGAAAACAATGCTCTGCTTTATACCTGTATCCTTCTTTTGAGCCTTCAAGAGCCTCAAGATGGGCAGTTGAGACTTTAGTATCAGAATGACTGGGACTACCAGAGATTATTTTCTGATATTAAAATCATCTCTTGTCTTCAGGCTCATTTCTAATGAATGATCCCCCCCCCGTCAGCTTTCTTGTCCAACTTGCACCTGTACATAGTAACTGGAGCTACCATAATCTGAACAATCTTAATCTTGCCTGCCCACCCCAGCAGAACACTTCTATTTTTTTTTGTGTGGTTAACCTTGAAAAAATATTCAGCAACTCTGATTTCCTTACTGCCAACTTATGCATTTCTTCAGTAGTCGTTATTTTTGTCTTCTTAATCTTCAGCAATAATCAGGCTCTTGCACTTTCTTTAACCATCAGCAGTTACTTTTCTGTCAAGTAATGTGGTGTTATCTTTATACCTTAAATTACTGATATTTATCTCTTCAATTCTCCCTTTTTGTACAGTGGTGCCTCGCTAGACGATGATAATCCGTTCCACTGAAATCGCTGTTTAGCGAAATCATTGTCTAGCGAAAAGCATTTCCCCACTGGAATGCATAGAAACCTTTTTATTGCGTTCCAATGGGGAAGAATCGTCGTTGTCTAGTGAAGATCGGCCATAGGAAAGCCACTTTGCGAACTGCCAATCAGCTATTTAAATCTCTGTCTTGCGAAGCTTAGGTCCCGAAAACACCTGTTTTGCGAGCGCGGAGGGAGCTGTCAAAATCGTCATCTAGTGAAAATCGGTTTGCAAAGCAGGGACCAAACATTGTCCAGCGAAATTCCCCCATAGGAACCAGTGTTTTGCAAATCGCTATAGTGACCGCAAAAAGTCAATGTCTAGCAAAAAAAACTGTCATGTGGGGTAACTGTCTAGCGAGGCACCACTGTATATGTTCTGCATATAAACTGAACTAGACAAGAGAAATGCACACTTGTTCAACATTTCTGCCAATTGTTAATCATTCTGTTTCTTCACATTCTGTCCTAACAGTAACCTTTTGTCCAGAACCACACAGGACAATCTGTAGTTGTGACACATCCATTTTCTTTAGTGTAATTTGTAATGTTTTATGATCATTACAAATCAAAGGCTTTATTGCCATCTACAGAGCACAAAATGATTTTCTTCTGAAATTCTTCAGTATACTCAAGTAGATAGCATGTGTATGCAATATTATCTTTAGCTCCTCTTCATTTTTTGAATTCAGTTTCTGGCATTTCTTGCTCCACCATATATAGTAAAAACATTTACTGTAAAATGTTTCACATATTTTTGCTTCCATGGGAAATTAATGTATTAATGTAATGGTTCTCCTGCTACTGCAGTTTTTGATATCGTCTTCCTTTGGGACTAGAATACAAATTGGGCACGTGGGCCACTGTTCTGTCTTCCAGATTTGCATTCTTCTTAAAATGTTGATGTTTAATCTATATAGCTCTATTAGTATCCCATTTACTCATTGTGCTTTATCTTTTCCAACTACTTTGACTAAAGCTTTCACTTCACTTTCTAAATTTACAGTTTTCCTGAAAAGATTCTTCTTTGACATAATTTTAATCTTTTCCATACTGTGCACTGTTTCCAACTTCTGTACTTTATCCTGATGAGATAATATATTCCCGTGTTGATCTTTCAACATCCCCGATTTCAACTCAAATTTTCCTTGGATAGCTTGATTTTAAAGAGAGTGAATAATTCATTTGTTTATTTTTGTCCCCTTCTATTTTTTTGTAATGATTATTATAATGCTTATTATAATAATTATTGTAATGATTACTATAATGCCCATGTTCAAGGTGCTGAAAAGTTATATTTAAAATTCTGGCCCTATTTCTATTACCATTTACATTTTCTTATCTTTTCTAAATAATTAAGATATTTAAGGTACTTTGCCAATCCTTATTGAGGCTTTCAATTTCTTTTTTTTAAAGGAATAGACATTTTTGCATTCTTCCTTGATAAGTTCACTAATTCTGTACATTATCTTAACATTTTCCAGAAACCTTATTTCAACTATACTTTGATGTTTAAAAGACAGAAACCTTAAAAACAGTGTCCTACATGGCATGTTCATGATTCACACTAGGGCTTAAAGAAGATGCTGCTGCAGAAAATTTTACCGGATGCTAACAATTTTTTTATACAACTTCAGTTTCCAATTGGTGCAATCGTATCTAAAGTTATTCTTAATTAATTCAGATGTACCGACTGAAAATGCTTGGCTGCAGTCACAGCAACTAGAAACTATGGTTTGTTGTTACAAAAATGAATTGCTAAACACTTTAGGCTAATATATTTACATTCTTTCTTTTTTCTTTTCACAATTTATAAGCATCCATTTATTTTGCAGTTTCCCATTCTGTTCAACATAAGGAAGACAAGGAATGTACAATCCACAGGCTTAACAAACTAGGATATCTAAGTAGGTTTGTTGTTTAGCACATCTAGACAAACTATAACTTCCCACATTTGACAAAGCAGGGAACTAGAATTTGCAACAAATCACAAGCAGAAGCTTTTACCTGAGAACTTATCTACAGAAGCTCATTTAAGAGTGGGCTAAAATGGACTAAATAGGATCAGATAAGGTCAGGTAGAGATCTGGTACTCCATTTGGCATGATCCTTGCATTCAAATGACATACGCACTTCAAGTGCCCCTCTGTGGTCTGCCTGCCTATTGAAAATAACAAAAATGAAACAAAAAATCCCCCCTTTTGCCCCTCTCCTCTCTTCCTGCTTCTGAGAGGAATTTTTGAAATAAAATGTATTTATTCTAAATGCTGCCATGGATTAGCAAAGCCATAATAAAGATTTTTTTAAAAAAATATTTTACTTCATCTGCCCCTTCATGGAGCAGAGGAAGTGTTTAATTTCCGAATATTGTGAAATGGCTAAACTGTCGTTTTAAGCCACTTAAGAATATGGGAAATTGAAAGAGGGAGGCAAATTGATAGCTGCTAGCTTGCTTTGGTTTCTTTCCAGTAATCACATGGGCTTGAAATGAACCAAAACAGAGTGATCCTTCCGTCACCATAAAAGTAGAAGCCTCTGATAGGAATCCAGAAAGGTGTGGTTAGGAATGCTCTAAGATGCTCTGCTTTGCTCCACCAATTGCACTGAGTGATTGTCAGAGAAAGGAACAAATCAGTCCATCTTTGCAGTGGACCAAGGTAAAAGTAAAGGTTCCCCTTGACAGTATGGCCAGTCGTGTTCGATTCTAGGGCGCGGTGCTCATCCCCATTTCCAAGCCATAGAGCCAGTGTTTGTCCGTAGACAATTTCCGTGGTCACGTGGCCAGCGCGACTAGACACAGAACGCCGTTACCTTCCCACTGTGGTGGTACCTATTTATCTACTCGCATCTTTACCTGCTTTGGAACTGCTAGGTCGGCAGGACCAAACAGTGGGACAAATGCCTGTCTGATAACACCCTCAGTAAGAGAGCATTCTCTGTCTTAGAACACAGAATAAGTACCTATATATTACAAACTGTAAAAAATACAAGTTACCGGTACTTCTAAGTTTTGAAAGACTAAAGATTACTACAATATAAGCATCAACTTAAACAAATTATTATGTAATGTAGATGCATTCCAAGACTGTAAGTATACTCTCTCCAGTGCATAATGTATAAAGCAAATGTATCTACTTACATATTTTCAGTTGCTAAACACAGAGTACTATTATCAGCTCTCTCTGCTGCCCCTGAACTCATATGAACTATTTTAATATAAAATCCAAGCAAAATGAAAGGTGGAAAAAATTATAAAACAATAAATACATTATATTTTGCATTCCTAAATGCTATAAAGTAGTTTAGGCTATCCTTATAAAAATAAAATGAAAAAATTATACATGCATAAACAATGAACTGTGTCCAAAAGTAAATCAAGAAGCTCATTATATGTTTTTAAAATTAGGAGGGAGGGTGTTGGTCTTTTCATGCTAGTATGATGGCTAAAATCAAGTTAATTAAGTTATCAAAACAACTCAGATGTGGTTAGCTCAAAGTCCACTTTACAGAAATATGTTCATCTTACTTTTAGAATAATTAAAATTTTGGTCACTTACTCTCGTTAAGTCCATGCCAAGTTTGAGCTGAGACAGGAGATGTAAGATAACACTACGTTGTTCTTCTACTGCTCCAAGGTCATCTTCTTTATTATCACATGTATCCTCTACCTCCTCATCTGGATTTATTTCCTCTGGTTCCTTGTGTAAATTCCAAAAACAAATGACACTTCAAATAACATCCAAGCTCTAATGTTACTGCCCCTGAAACATGTCAGTCAAATCACCCTCCTAAATTCCCACAGGTGATTGCTCAGTTTTCATATTAAGGGCATACCCTATCATGACCCATACTAATACACTAATTCCCAACTTCCTGTGGAAGATTATCTATCTTTTAAACATGAGTTTTAATTCTAGTTTCTGTTTGAAATCAACAAACTCTTAGTAATAAAATGGACAGGAATTAAAATTTAGAGTATTCAATTTAAATCACTGTCAGTATATTTCAAAATTTGTGTCTTCAGTACTGATGCTACTGCTACTATAGAGATGTAAGGACTAGTGTTCAAAATTCTGGCCCTGTTTGCTAATGAAGAAATACTGATAATTTTTTCTTTTGCAGTGTTTAGCAGATTTTTCTCTTATCAAAAATTTATTAAAGCCTTAGTGTCCTCAAACAGACACCTATATTCTCAGGTTTTCCTGATATATGCCTTTATTTGATATGTTACTGGAAGGCCAGATAACTGACACATTTTAACATTCAATTTTAATTAACATTAGTGGAAAAATCTGCTTAACAGGTCAATACAACCATAGACTGTCCTGCTGAAACAGGAATCCAGTATTTACAGTACTTGTTGAGGGTCACTAAATTTGTAAAATATGTAAGGAAAATCCGCAGGGAGGAAATTATAAGACTCTCTTATAAAACAGAAAAGCACAAAGCGGAATATAAGCCACAATAAAAGTGCATGACTTCTATTATTCAGAACAATGACTTCACATTTTTAGAAGCTAGATGGTGATTTTGCAGACTGCTCTCAGCTTCTGCACTGGTGGCATGCTTTTAATACCAACAGTGTGACAGTGCTGAAAGGAGAGCAGCTTTGTATCTCCTAAAAGTATCTGGCAGGAGTCAAAATGCAACAAGAAGTGTTTCTAGTTGAATAATTGACAAACAAATCGGCTATACATAGAAGATTTATCAACTGGGGGGGCAGGGGAAATTGATCACTTCCATGTATTCATTTATTAGAAGGTAACTGGATGGAATGGCTGGAAACAAATGTCCAGAGGAAATGTCCCTCAGATAACGTTAGAGAACTGCTGAACACCAAATATAAATGAAGAACTTAGTAGGATTACCTAACTTGGCAGACTGAATAGTTTATTAACTCCTATGGCACCTGAGAAATGATATATTCAGTATTATGTTTCACCTTGCTTAATCTAGACTTAGAAGGGGCAGACTGAAAACAAAGATAGAGACAAGACAACAAACATTTGTGAGCAATATCCCAGCCATTATGATATCTGTCACAAAAAGTGATTTGACTTTTTAAAGAAAATCCGCTACTATTCCAAGGGAAGAACTAGCACAGACTCAAAACCAAAGACAACCAAACATATGTGACATCAGAGTTTCCCTTCATATTTCACAATACGTTGTCTGTAGTATTCACAGACATCTGTTCCAGTGTGAATGGATGTTCGCATTTACTGTCCATTGGTGCAATAATTCATATTATCTGCATGTCCTAGTAAAATGACTCTCAAAGCTACTTACAGGCACAGATACCAAACTCCGCTAGACTCTGAAACATGTACTGGTGCTTTTTGTTTCTATTCCCTATTTCCTCTAACCCCCCCCCCGCAACTTCCATGTTCAGATTCTGCCTCAAAGAAATATAAGAAGTTGTTTCATACTGACTGAGGCCCTTCAGACAATCTAGCATAGTATTTTCAACTCTTTTTGACAGCAGTTCACAGGACTTCATGCAGGACTTTTTCCCCCTAGTTCTCCTTAGGATTCAATGATGATATTCCCTCATTGTTTCTCATCCAAGCTTACGAACAACCCTGCTTAGTTTCCAAAATCAGGATGTGTTCAGGGTACTGATCACCATATTCAACTATGAAGAAATTTTCCTATAACTTAGCCATCCATCATATTTTGTTTTGATTTGTTCGGGGTTTTTTCAATATTCCTGACAATATTCCTGGCATACCTGCTCACGACAGACAGACCTATTCAAGCAAGTATTATGTAATACTGAAATATGCAGTCTGAAGTCAGAATAAATCAAAAGTTATTTTTTTACATGAAACTTCCAAAATGTGCACATTTCTTCCTGAGTTCTAAGGAAAAAACCTACACAAATACAAATGTGTAATACATTTAAACCAAACCAACACATCCATTCATGAACTGCTTAGTTTTTAGAAGCCTAGATCTGAATCTCTAAATTCAACAATTTTAATGTTTAACCAGGGTTGTCATTTCTTTCTTCTGATATGATTCTCATGCTTCACACATCTACTTGGCAGGAATGTAGAATAAGATCCTTTTTGCAATGGGAACAACTGGTTTGCTTAATTTTTTAAGCAAAACCTAAGTGAAGTTCATACACATCTTCATAAATATTGTGGGAAAATGTTTGAAGATTTTGAATAGAGGAGAAAATGAAATGAATTATTCATTCATCCAGACTCAGGGCTTTTGATGCATACACCTCAAAAATCTGGGTTTGGATTGTCGTGTCTTCACATTCAGAATAGAAAAAACTTGATGTTTTAAAAGTCTGAGAGATTTTAAAATTTGGGAGAAAGTAGAATTATCTGAAGACTGTAGGTTCCAAAAACACCCAACTGACTTCATCTGTCTCCTTACTACATTTCTGTATGTGCAAATGGATTGATAAAGCAGGCCGCATCTTGGCCATTTCACGTCAGGAACGGAAGCAGCTACAGTTTGGCACTCCTAGTTCTCTTACTTGACATTTGTCCTTGGCTGGCACATTCTAAGCACAACAGAGGCTTGCTGCATCTCTGCAGCATCGAACTATGGTGAAGACTCTGCACAGAACACACTCTCTGCTTTCAGAATGCTGCCACAGTACACATTGACACACTGCTATGAGTTTTGCTGCAGTGGTGGCTCATTCCAGCAATGATCACATGACACAGAGAGGGGGGGACACAGAAATTTGGACAGAGCAGTAGGGGGAGAGGAGAACTGATCTGGGTCCAGTGAAAATGACTCCTGCCTATTACTGATAATGCTGAGGCTGGACTTCATTTTAAGCCACTTAAAAGTTTCATCTTATTAAAGTAGTTCTACAGTACCTGCATTTTTATTTCTCTTGTTCTCTGACACTACCTGTTCATGGGCCATTATGCTCTAACGTTCAGCTGTATTCTCCTGTGTTATTCTCATCAGTTAGGAATGTTTGGGTGTGAAGGATCCTGCCTCACTGAAGGAGTGGTTGCGCATCAGGTTTCTTCAAGCATATTTCATATCATATCATATAAACCAACACAAGAAAAGACAAATAACACTGTGGCACCTTAACAACTATAGTAGCTAGGCTTTAAGGTGCTGGAACACTTTCATCTTTTTTTTCCTTTTCTTTTGTCTGCTATGCTTGCACAGACTAACACAGCTACTCCTTTGGAAACTACAACTACTATATCAAGCATATTTCAGTTACTTTTGCATGTGACCATAAAAGCTGACCCGTCCCATGAGCAATAGGGTGTGTAGGGAGGAGCATCCACATCCTAGACTATAGGATGGAAACAATTTGCAAGAAGAAAATGAAATCTATAAATAGCAGCCATCAGCAATCTGCAGGGCAAAACAAACAAACAAACAAACAAACAAACAAACAAACAAACAAACAAGGCTTTTCTCTTGCACTGTCTCTTTGGATTGCTAATAGCTGTTGAGTGTTTAGTAATTAACCAAGATGCCTCAATGGTATTGCTCTACTGGGGGCTTCCCTGACATATACTCAGTCTTTTGTTTAGAAAAAACTGATTTGAGAATAAGCTACCATGAAATTTCAGCTTTGGTTCCTAAATATTAAAACAGGAAGTTAGCACATTCTTAAAAGTGAGTGAGTGAGTGAGTGAGTTTGTGTGTGTGCAATAATGCACATATATAGTCTGATCATGCTGATAAAGTTATACTGCATTCTTCATTTTTTGTAAGAGAAAGAAACAAATACCTTTTCATGTTACAATATTCTATTTACTTTGATAAAAGTGCTCCTAAGAGTCACTCATATCAGAAACATAGTTGTGTCAAAAATCTATACCAATCTATATTTATAATCCCCATAATATTGTGATTATACTGTTTGCTTTAATATTGGTAGCTGCCATTGCTCCTCTTGAGGAGAAAGGTAAAGTACAAATAGTTTAAAGAAAAGCATAATACGTGCCTTTCTAAACTTTTTACAATACCTTTTCAATTGTAAGACTGTAAGTATATGAAGCCAACGAGATCTCCCAAGCTATTAATATTCTTAACATGCTGCCAAGTTTTAAAAATGCCAAGAAAAACTATCCCATTTCCCTCTCTTAATTTATCCTGACAGATTCTGACACTAAACAAAGTTACTTTTAATCTTGGATTATGAGTCAGGAGCGATTGAGCTAAAGAAAACTGCACTGAGAAATATCATGCAATTGACATGGTGTCTATATTTGTGCTGATGAGAAAGCTTGAAACATGGAAAAACATTTTCTAAAGGCTTTTCACTATTTAACCCATTAATCTGTAACTATTTTAAATCAGATTAATCAATTTATTTAATTGGTACTTTTAATTAACACTTGCTTTTCCACGTGTTTCCCGCTCCATTTATTAGTGGCACCAAAAATCTGCTAAAAGACAGAAAACAATACCCTGGCACTGTGGTATTTCATCTGTTTAAGCCCCACTTCATATCCAGAAACTATTAGTGTTTTAATCTTTCAAAAATACAGTTGCCCTTTCAAAATACTGATCAGTCCCTTTTTTGAAATAAAGAGGAAAGAAACCAAACCACACAACAGAGGCCTTCATGTTATCTTACCCTGATTAGCTGAAAGGAACCTGAATCGGACTGCTCTTCTTTGACAGATGACGGCTTGTTCTGATCTGCTGAGAAATTCTGACCTGCTCCATTTTTGAAGTGGTTTGGCACGGAGACTTTTGGTTCCAACCAACTGATAGCAGTTCCTGCAGCAAAAGAGTTTTTACGCTGAAACTTGCTCATGTTCTAGGAGTGTTTTTGTCTTTTTTTTAAAAAGGTTATTGTCATTAGACAGCTTTCCCCCCCTCCCACTAAAAAAAAAGAAACCAAACTTGCTCAGCAACAACAAAATTAAAGGTAGGTGCAGGAGAACACCACCTTCTCTGATCATTAGAATGAGGCCTGTGATTGGGTAGTGATGACACACACAACTTGCGCTGGAGAAGAAGGAGACAGAGTTATGAAAGGTGTAATTGGACACCAGATAAAGAACCCAATAAGACCGGCCTGCTACATAATCCCTTTGGACAGGCTGCTGCACCAACATTCTAGCAACGCAATGGAAGAAAAACGATTCCAAACTGCATCTGACTTCCGAGAAGTGAGGTGAAAACTAAGCATTCATTTTGACAGTGGTTTTTTGTGGGTGCATGGGTGGAAATGTTAGCTTTTCCACAGTTAAGGCAGTGGTGTGCTTGGTTAAACAAAGTGCTTGAAAATAAAAGCTGAAACATTTGGAAAACCATCACCCGTTCATTTAATGATTCTGGTGTCTCCAGTTACCCCTTTGCTAATCTATCAGAATGGATACAATTCCTCATCAATAATGAAAATGTTCCACTCTGTTCTCAAAAGCTAGTGTATGGAGACTCTAATAAAACCCCATTAAAAGGAACACACACTGTACATAAGCTTGAATAAAGGAACAGTCACCTGGGACATAAACATTACTGGTATCTTGGCATCTTCTGCTTAGAGTGTTGGATTCTTAGCATAGGCATTAGGCTGTACAATAACCTTGGGGAAATCAGCTAACAACAGCTATCTGAGTTGATTGAACGTACCTCTCATACATACATAAGCTCAGAGCATTAGGGACATTTGCATGTTCTTCTTATGCTGCATATCAAGTGCATTTCATTTTATTGCACAATGATTACTGCTCAGTAGGAGCCAAGCACTGGTTTAAATTCTTTCTATTTGCACAAAACCAAACATACAAGAACAAAAAAGAGAAAAGCCTAGGCAGAATAAGGAATTATATGAAAAAAAATATGAACATTCAAGTACCCCTCCCCAGCAAATACAAATTAAATGAAACTGTATCTGAAGAAATGCTTCACATGAAGACGAGCAATGGCAGAGAGATAGGTACGTGCAAATTTTATGATGCCAAAGTTGGAAGTCTCTTTCTGGTGGAGCTTATAGTTGGGGAAGAGGGAAGCCCTTTCTCAATGACAACAACAAAAAAACCCCTGCAAAACACACAACTGCCATAATTTTCAAGCTAATAGGAATTAAGGTTTTTGTTTTGTTTTTTCACTCTAGACCCAATAAGGATTGGAAAAGCTTAGCACCATCTATCTCTATTCCAGGTGGCGTTCTTCAAAAACAACAACAACAACAGCAACAAAAAACAGCTTCATATTTTTGTGACAGAATCGTAACTTAAAACAAGCACATTAGGGAAAGACAAAAGAAAAACTAAGAATAAAGAAGACAAAAACATTGTTGCACCTTGAAGACTGACTGCTACATTTTAAGTCCACTTCTTCAGACATGAAAGCTTACATTAAAATATAGCAGTTAGTCCTTAAGGTGCCACAATGTTTATGTCTTTTTTATTTGTCTTTTGTTTTTGCCTAATATGCTAGCACAGTCTAACACAGATACCTCTTCTAAAACTTAAAATAAGCAGTGCATCCCAACCACATCCACCACTAAGGATGTAACACACTTACATAGGTTATATGCCATGCAAGGCTGACAATGTCATCATCAGCAACATTTTTTCCAGAAATTAAACATTTCCAATTTTTTCCCTTGACGGTCTGTTCCTGTTCTCATACTCATTGTCAGGAAACTGTTATGGGCCATGGGACAGGAGGGGGAAGTCTTCAATTACTAAAAATTATTGTTGCCCATAAAATCATCCCAGTGGCAGCTCGGATTTAGACTTTGCCTTCCATCCTGCAGCTCCCAAAGGCTTCATGACAACAACAGAGATTGAACAAGAGACTCAGAATTTTTGGAGAGAAATCACAAATGTTTTAGATTTTAAAAAATCTTCGTTGTTGATTACATCATCAGCCTTACATGGCATAAGGTAACAGGATTTCAGTCACTACCTTGAGACGATACCTCAGTAATTTCGGGAACAGGTCCCATGTAGACAGTGAAATGCAGACCACATCATAATGTAGGCAAAAGCATAACCAGAACAGTGTAATCCATTTTTTTAAAAGTGCTTCAGGAGCCCCTGAATTCATAAGGTTGTATAGTGCTTTGTCTCCCTCATTATTTTCTTTTCCTATCAACTGCTGACTGTTAGCTTAGAAACAGGAAATGGAATGCCCTGTCATACACTGCCTTCACACTGCTCCTTCCACCTATTATTAGTTTTATTCATATGCCGCATTTCTCCCAACAAGGGACCCAAAGTGGCTCACAACATTAAAATTCACACAATTAAAAACACAATAAGTTAAATATTAAAAGACAAATTAAACAATATATGGATTAAGATAAAATTAAAAGATTAAAACGTAAAAACATGAAAAGATTAAAATTATTTGCTAAAATTGGGTTCAGGGATTCAGTTATAACTGTTAAAAGCCTGCCTGAATTGATGGGTCATTTTTCGAAAGGATAACAGGGAAGGGGCCATTTCAAAAGGATAACAGGGAAGGGGCCGTCCTGATCTCCCAAGGGAGAGCATTCCATAGCCTGGGAGCTGCCACAGAGAAGGCCCTCTTCCCGTGTCTCCATCAGCTGTGCTTGTGCTGGCAATGGGACCGAAAGGAGGGTCTCCTCTTGCTGAGCTTAATCACTGAGAAGGTATATATAGGGAGATACGGTCCTTCAGGTAACCTGGACCTAAGCTGTAAAGGACTTTATAGGTAATGCCCAGCACTAGGTAGCTCAAAGATTAGGACAGCACCCATATTTTGCCAAATACATAAGAACACTCACACAAGTTTCAGGGTGTGATTAGAGAGTGAGGGAAATGTAAATTAACTCATATTCTATCACTGTGTGAAGTCACACCAGGGCATTCAGTTCCCCTCAATTTAAGTGGCCACACAAACAGAGGAGAAAAAAATCCTTCTTACTACAGTTCTATTTGAAGCGCCTGTAGGTGGCACAGTTTAAAAGAATTGCCTTAAAAAGGCTTTCTATACTCAATGACTATTTCCTCATCTTCTCTTGCCCACTGGATAGTTTGTTGAGCTGTAAACAAACGGGAAAGGCAGGGTAAAATATTTTAATTAATAAATTTTTTTTAAAAAAGAAAGTGTCCTGATAGAGAGTTGAGTGCTGGCACTGTTTGTGTGCGTGCACACACACACACACACACAACACACGCTCTCCTGGTCCTCACACTCATGGGCACGAGGCAAGGATGAAGGTGGTTTGCCAAAGAATCATTTTGTGTGTGTATGTGCTTGGTTGGTCTTTCCTTTCTGCACTGGAGAAAGCAAAAGGATCCAACTTTTCAAAAGTAGGAGGGCCTCTGGTGGGGAGGAAAAACTACAATCAGGTGTAGGAGTCTAGGCTGAATTTTTTTCTGTGCCATGGCGATCTAGTGCTAAACCAGTATATCAATGCAATGACACTGTTTTAAACTCATTTATTTAAAAAAAAAATCTGACACACTTGGATAGATCACAGGAGCAAGTGTTCCAGCAATCCCTAAACATTGTGGCCCAACTGCCTATTGTGATCACAACAGACACAAACACACACATAGCACAATCATTTTGCAGTACGCAGGGAAAAGTCCTTTCAAATTATTCTGGCTTGAAAAAAGCAAAAGCCGCCAGCATCAAAGAAAAAAACTTGATGTCAGGAGCAAAAAGGTACCTATTTATCTACTCACATTTTTACATGCTTTCGAATTGCTAGGTTGGCAGGAACTTGGACAAGCGACGGGAGTTCACTCCATCGCCTGGATTCAATTTTACGACTGCTGGTCTTCCGGCCTTGCAGCACAGAGGCACCACCACATCCCTCCCATTTCAGCAAACCAACCTCAAATAGTAACTGTTTCATATAATGCATTTCTCCAAGGGATGAACCAGCTCTCTTAGTATATCCAGACCGTCACACAAGTCACAGCTATCCAAGGCACTGTCCTTATGAAAAGTATTATTCAGCTGCAATTGGCTACAAATCCCTTTATTTCATAATTCTGATTTCACCCTAAACATAGTATTTCCACAGCTGTTCACAACGGCTCATTGAATTATCAGCTTCTATTTTTAGTTGTATTAGAAGGAAAGAAAACAAAGCAAATCTCACCAGCTGGTAAGGGCCCCTTTTGTTGTGATGCATGTTGTAGCTGGAGAATGTGGAAACAATCATTTAAGCAATTCATTGTTGCCATGGAAGTTGCCTTGAGCATCAAAAGGTCTTGGTCCAAGGAAGAAAGATGACCAGAGGCTGGAAGGCATTCTATGCTTCTTACCAAGTCTCTCTGTTGTCCCTCAGCTTGATACATCTTCTACAAACAAATAAGACATTAAAAAATAAGAATTTTGATACCTTAAATTATGCTTCAGCTGATATTAATTAAAATTCCCTTCTACTCAAATGCAAAATGAGCACTATCTATTTATCGAAAATTACAATGCTGTGAACTTTTCAAGAACTCAAGTTATACAGAATGTTGAATGAAACAGCATTACGATTACAGCATGACTTTTGGATGAGCCTTCTGCTTAGGAAAGCTAGATTTGTGTATTTTCTTGTGCCTAGTAATGCAACCCGTAACTCGTTTGTTAGTGGTCTGTTACACAATTTCACTTACATATGCACAAATCACCAACAGGATGGTACACCAACAAGTGCACAAACTCTTATTCTAATAGAAGAAATAACATATTGTTCTTTTAGCTGTCCCTCTCATGAGGAGGAGGGCATGCTATGGAAATAGAGAAGGCATTTTTTCTCTCAAAAATCATTAATCAAGTAAAGTTTTCTCTTTCAAGCACAAAAATACAGCAATATAGATATGTAACACTGTAAAAAAAAGAATAATTTGTTTTACTATCAATCAAAATCAAAGGTAAATGCATTATATCAATGTCAACGTTCCCTCCAAGTTTCTGTCCCACTGCGCAGGAGCCTTGTTCTGTGTGTGAGGGGATGGGTGGGGTTCATTTGAAATGGGAAATAAACAAATTGGCTTCCTGCGTGCAACCCCAATGGAGCTCTGGGCAAGTGCAAGTGTGCAGCTTAGAGGGAACATTGATCATTGTTATCCTTGAATATTTAGAAGGAGGATACTCTCTCACACATTGGAAAAATAAAGAGAGGACATAATCATCAATCCTCTACAAGAAGAGGGAACCCACACTATGGTAATCAAATATTAGAGTTACCAAACCTTGCATCACCCGAGAACAATTATTCGAGAATGTACTAATTTAGTGTACCACTTGTGGTACCTACATACCTTGATTTTGAGAGGTCACTTTGGCTAGTTCTTAAATACAGTGGTGCCTCGCTTAACATTGAAGGGGTTTCAATACATTCCAATGGGCCTTTTTATTTCGCATAGCGACGAATCCACATATCAACGATTTTGGCTGCACGGATTATCGTCGCTATGCGGGGCACCACTGTACTTTTAATTGTCACATCACAGACTAACTGCTCCTGGGTAATGAAAGACGCTTTGGTGATGAAAAATGATTTTGTGCAAACCTAATATTTCCTAACTTCTTAAGTTCCAGTTAAGGAATTATGGCCACTTAGTTTCACTTCTTTATCCCACGTGGATTCTCTACTCATTTCCCTCTTTGGAACTAATTAAATTAGCATTTCATCTGCAATGAGATGAATACTAACCATAGTTCACTTCCTACCAGGATCTGGGATAGGCTTGTAACTATAAATGGAAACTCTGATAGAACTGCTAACTATGGTTAGGATTCACTGAGCTCGTACCCATTCCTCGCTTACCGGGCAGCAAAAATGGCGGCCTTATGGAGGATTTTTGCTTAACTGTCAGTTTTTTGCCCATAGGAACACATTGAAGGGGTGTCAATGCATTCCTATGGGCCTTTTTATTTCGCATAGCGACAAATCTGTATAGCGACGATTTTGGCTGCACAGATTATCGTCGCTACGCAGGGCACCACTGTACTTTTAATTGCCACATCACAGACTAACTGCTCCTGGGTAATGAAAGACGCTTTGGTGATGAAAAATGATTTTGTGCAAACCTAATATTTCCTAACTTCTTAAGTTCCAGTTAAGGAATTATGGCCACTTAGTTTCACTTCTTTATCCCACGTGGATTCTCTACTCATTTCCCTCTTTGGAACTAATTAAATCAGCATTTCATCTGCAATGAGATGAATACTAACCATAGTTCACTTCCTACCAGGATCTGGGATAGGCTTGTAACTATAAATGGAAACTCTGATAGAACTGCTAACTATGGTTAGGATTCACTGAGGGCACATGTAAGAGTGCACACTTGCTGCTGAAAAAAATGGCTGGCAATTTCAATACGAAAAACAGGAGGAGGAAAGAAAAGCCTGTTGGCACAAGGAGAAAGGAAGAAGAATAGGAAGACTACATGGGAATGACTGGCAGACTCCTTAATTATCAACTAAGCTTAGGAAATTGAGAAACATTGTGTATACTTAAGTTTTAGCCCTACTCATTCTTTACTGCCAGCTATAATGAAAGAAAGAATTTGGTATGAAGACTGACATAATTTCTATCCCTCCAATTTATACTATTCATATTATTATACATATGACTTTTCTATATAAAACTTGAATCTCTCTTAAAATGTATACATTAAAATACCTGTTTCTCATAACAAGGCTGACATGCAAAAAGGATACTTCCATAGTCTGCTCTAATTAGCAAATTAGTCACTCAAGAGATACTGCAAAACGACACTTATCTTGTGTAAAATGATACTACAAGATGTAAAAAAGATTCAGGTCATCTGAAGGTTGGTATACAGAGTTTTGTCAGGTTTCTGAAACAAGTCGGATTTCTTAGGGTGTCATACTACAACTCAAGTACTACTCAAAATTATTATAAATATTAAGATATCAGCAGCAAGAGTTTTATATTATGTTAATAAAATAATTGTCACTGTTATCTCTGCATTTAAGTCTCCTTTAACTCCGTGTGTACACTATAGGTATTTCATATTCCAGCTAACACTCAATTGAACTAATGAAGAAGAATGCAGTTCACAAAAACTTTGCTGTAACAAATATGGTTTGCTTTTAATATGGCATAAAATTAATTACTTTTTTAGCATTATCTTGCTAAATATTTGCTATATATTAAGATGAACTCAAAATAAAAAGCAGTAAGAACAATAACCAGAACAAGACTGAAGAAGCTACTTGGATAAGTAGCAAAATGTTTCAACCTAACAAGAGAGACGTCCAGTTGCCATGACTCAACTTCTAGATAACCACACGTGAATGACTGAGAAACTTCACAGATAAACAAGAACCATGTGAGATCTGGACCATAAAGAAAGATGACCACCGAATAATAGATGCTTTTGAATTGTGGTGCTAGAAGAGACCCTTGAGAGTCCCCTAGACTGCAAGGAGAACAAACCTATCCATTCTGAAGGAAATCAACCCTGAGTGTTCACTGGAAGGACAGATCCTGAAGCTGAGGCTCCAATACTTGGCCATCTCATGAGAAGAGAGATCTCCCTGGAAAAGACCCTGATGTTAGGAAAGTGTGAAGGCAAGAGGAGAAGGGGATGACAGAGGATGAGATGGTTGGACAGTGTCATCGAAGCTGCCAACATGAATTTGACCCAACTCCGGGAGGCAGTGGAAGACAGGAGGGCCTGGTGTGCTCTGGTCCATGGGGTCACGAAGAGTCGGACATGACTTAATGACTAAACAACAAAATGTATGTACTCAAGAAAACTCTGTGGATAAACATACTACTATCAAGATACAGCTTTAGCATGCAAGCAGGGCAAGAACGTCAAATCGATAAAGCAAGGAAACAAGAAACTGTATTTTAATGTTTTTAGCTCCAGGAAGGACTCCATTCCAAAATGTAAATGTGGCAGGCTGCAGCTCTTTATCATATTAATGTAAATTAAATACAGATGCCTATAGTCAGCAATGAACATTAAAAAATGACAACTGAGGGTGGCTTTAATTATGGATTTCTAGAAAAATGTTCTATCAGAAATTATTCTAACCCTTAGGGCATTTTTTCACCATACCTCCCCCTCACCCCAATATTACCCTTTTTTGCTCAGAAAGTCCTCTAGACATATGGGGAGCAATACTGCTATGTTTTGAGCCTCCACCACATTCTTGAAGCCCTCATATCCCCCCACATCTAATTTTAAAAAAATGGGGAGAACTAGAGGATACAAAAGGGCTTTTTCAGTTAAAACCTCCCATTTTAAAAATGTTTAATCTGTTTTTCAGTTTGTAGAAACTCACTCTAGCAACCTTTACAAAATAAACAAGTATTCAAATTAGCCCCTTTGCTGGAAAATCTGAAAAATGGCCTGGGGCCCACTGAGGTCCCCCATCTCTGGTGCAGGGAATCTTTCGTTTCTGAAAAGCAAATACAGTATTCAAAGAGTGGTAACGATTGGTTTATACTAACCTCCCGGACATCAATTAAGTGATCTGGCTGCAGAATGGGAATTCTCTTCCCAGTTGGCAACTTGTGATGGCTTACGTTAAAAAAGGAAGCTGCATTTTGGCTGGGCCTTCTCTGTACACCAGGGGAGCCACTTCCTTGAGATGCAAGAGAGAAGCTGCGAGATTTCAGAGGGGGATTGTTCTGGTGAACAAACATACATATTAGGAAATACTTGAAACTATTTGTAAGTCTCCACCCTTCTAATGCACATACTATTACACATACTATGATCATACGCAACCAGATTTTTTTGAAAAATCAGAAAACATGCTGATTTACAGTATTAATATTCTCAGCCATTGACCAGACATTAATCGTTGATCACACCACAAAACTGGCATCCATTAGAGTTGCTTGCCCTCTCCTTCACCAAATACTACTTTCTAGTAGTAAAGACTGGATGGCTCCAGAATGGCTCTGCAGGCAAGAAGTGGGGCTAAACACAAAACCCAGAGGGAGTTAAAAAAAAAACCCTGAACTTTAAAAAAAACCCACAAAACCGTAGGGTTTTTAAAATATGTATATATTCTGACAAAAAGCACAACAGCCATATTTTTCATTTTCCTCTGATAGCTGGCTAGGGATGATGCACCATGCCAGCTTCCATTTTCTATTATTAGCTGAGACAGAACACATTAAGCCAGTTTTCAAAACATGACATCTACTAGATGTGGTGTACCAAAGAACAATGTATATGCTGTCTCCATTTATTTTACACATTTAGTAGAAACTCTACCCTTGAGGGATCCTGAGAATGACATATACATTAAAATCCACATTAAAGGCACACATGGGGGGGGGTCATGGGGCCACTCAAGCTATCCCTACATTTGCACTTGCCTTTTGCATGTTTGATAGCTGTATGAAGAGGCCACATGCCCATGCTAACAGGTCCGCCACATGAAAGCAAATATTGACTGCCCCAGGATTTATCATTATCACATTATGTTGCTACACAGCCAGATGTCAGTATGCACAGATGGCCCTTTTGTGGCTCCTGAATGTTCAGGCAACAAATGTGAACGTGGAGCTGGTTTCTGTGGACTTTTCTACCCCCCTGCATAGGTCTTTAATGTATGAGGAAACTGGAATCATCTTCCAATTGAGCACTGTACTCCGTAAGTTTGATGGGGAGGCCAAAACAAATTGCATGTACTGTACTAGATTTGTCTTTTCTCCCATATGTACAAGAACAATTAGACTCGCAATCTAATACTAAGCACCATTATTCTGAAGTAAGTCCCACTCTACTGAACAGAATTTATTCTCAGTTGTCCAGGACTGCAACCTCCTAAATGGAATTTGTAAACAAAAAGGACTCAAGACCCTCAAAATCCAGTTAGAAAATTAGAGACACCTGATTCAGATGATCGGTATCTTAGGTAAAAAAAAAGGCAAGATGTAAGAAGACTTCAAGGCTATATGCAGCTATGTTTTTAAAATTCCTCTCCTCACAAGAGCTAAAATAATCCAACAAATATTTCATTAACACAGACTTCCCATTTAATCGGAAGTATGAAGCTATTACTAGCATCAGAACACATCAAGATAGCATGATATGGTACTGTAGCCAATTCTGACTCTAACCATAGTTTTCTGATTTGGGAGAAAAGACTTCCTGATTTGTTTTTTACTCACATGAAGAGAAAAGTAAAGTGAGTGTGTGCATATCTGAGAATCAGTCTTAACTTATTACAGTTAAAATACTGACCATCTGAACAAAGGCAGGATTTCCAGAAGTCTGTAAAGTTATACTGTATTACTTGCTTACCACTGGGGTCTAGCAGCTTATATATAGTCTCTACATTTGTGACATTCTGTTTCAAGATAAAGCCAAACATGCACAACTCTAAAACATAAAATATCTGATGGATATTTTAAACAAATGTTACTGCAGAACTTACAGTATGTGTTACAGACAATACCTTTCCAATTGCTTCAGTATGGTGTTGTGCACATATCTGAAGCCGACTGACCCAATGCTGCCGTTCTTTAGCATCAGTAGCTGGATTTTAAAAAGAAAGAAAGAAAGGAGAAGAACATTCAGAAGGCACATAGGGGAAAAATGCAAATATTGATTTCAACTTGAGTTTGTTTAGGAAGCTTCATTTCCAACAAAGAAAAAAACAGGACATAAAAACTGTGGCACAGCCTATAGCATCTATTTCTCTCTCTTTGGATAACAGGATCTTGTCCCAATGAATACCAAATTTCCACTATCGTTGCAATAATTCTATATCATAGGATATTTGTCCATGATATGCTTTTGCATGCTGCCAGAAATCACAGGATAAAAAACTTGATTTTTTTTGCAAGAGCGATCAGCAACAAACACTGAAGTAACAATTGCTTCAGCACTCTAATGAAGCTCAATTGAATAAGCAAGATTTTAAAAAGTGTGCCGTGTGACTTGAATACATTTTTGTGACTGCATAGGGTTAAATGTTCTTCATACTGTTCCTACACATAAAAATGATTTTGAAAATGAACATCTGTATCCATTTTTTAAAGGCCTAGATAGGAAACCATGAGACATCTCCCCAGAACTGCAGAAGAACTGAGGTTCCACACATTCAAATATAGCCACAACAACCTGACCCTCAAAATAAGAAAACAATATAGATAGAAACTGCCAAAAAATGTGTGTTGTTTTTCTTAATGCAAAACAGAAATGAAGGAAGTCACTGTATAGATGTCAGCGAACACTAACAAAGAAAAGGTACCAAAAAAGCTGGTTTGGAAAAAGAGCCTGAATCTAGCATTTTCCCTTCAAAGACAGAAGTGTTCTTTCATCCTGTAAGAGGCTTCTGATCCTACAGGACATTCCCCCTCCCAAGTCCCCTCAAATCCAATTCTAAGGTATGCCTAGACCAGGAAGGAATCTGGCACTCGAAAGGAGATAGGAGGAAATAAACCGAGAAAACATTTCTTTATACTAAGAAACAGAGAGAGAGAGAGAGAGAGCTGTGAGTCAAGTTGGAACTGATTTATAGGGCTAATGTTGTCCCTATCTTCAAAAAGGGCAAAAAAGAGGAACCTGGGAACTACAGGCCAGTCAGCCTGACATCAATCCCAGGCAAAATTCTGGAACAGATTGTAAAGCAGTCATTGTGCAAGCACCTAGAAAACAATGCAGTAATAACTAGAAGCCAACAAAGATTTGTCAAGAGCAAATTCTCCCAAACTGATTTGATCTCGTTTTTTTATCAGGTCACCTCTCTGATAGACAGAGGGTCCAGTAGACATAGTATATCTTGACTTCAGCAAAGCTTCTGACAAAGTGCCCCATGATATCTTGATTAGCAAGCTAACTAAGTGTGAGATGGATAGATCAAGTGTCAGGCGGATACACAATTGGCTACAGAATCGTACTCAAAGGGTGATGATTAATGGGTCCTTCTCTAACTGGGAGGAGGTCACAAATGAATTCCTGACTTCAACCAAACAGCTGTAAAGAAATCTATACTAAAATTATTTCTCCAATTAGACATAAAGCAATAGAAGGAAAGACCCTCAGTTCATTAAGATACTAATTTTCATTCTTAGATTCTACTGACTATGCTCCGACACCCAAATGAAACCAAACTCTTATGCTTATTCCTCCTTAAAAAGGAATGTAAGAGACAGAGGACACCACTATTTAGAAGAAGCCAAGAAACATCACTATACGCCCTGGGATTAAAATTGGACTAATTTCATACCAACAATGTTGAGAAATATGAAGCCAGCTCAAGGTGAGCCATGGAGATCCAGTTTTTCAAAGCATACATTCCCTGAGACTTTGTTCAATACATATGTAGGTATCAGCAATATAGTCAGGTTTTTGAGAACTGGGCATTTTAAAACAGCATGAAATCAAACTATCCGTAAACACAAAAAAGTCTGGATAATTACACTTGTGCAAATACATTTAAAGTAACAGTCTTATTGGGGAAAAAACTGGGATAACATATTTTAGTCTGCTAGATGTCCTCTGCACCTTTAATAAACTGTCAAACTTGAACAAACACCAATTTTTTCTCCAATTCACTATACAGCCTTGGGGGCGGCGGGGGGGGGGAAGAGAATCTCAGAACCTCAGACCTGCCCACAAGTTGCATCTCTACAAATTTATTCAGTGAGACATGTTAGATACTATGAGATTACTACAGTATTCCCACACAAAGCTATTTTGGTGAAAATAAAAATTCCAAACTAAATTCTGATTTTGAAATAAAACTATTAACTAGACAATTTATAATCAATGATTTAAGGATTATGTCAAGGACTAGGCTTTGTTTTGTTTTTAATAAGAGCCTCACAACAATTTCTCCATGAAGGCATTCCAAAAGGACTGTGGTTTAAATTTACACAAAATGCTCTATTATGTATTTAGTGAATTCTGTCCAGACCATGCATTAGCCAACCTAGTAAAAGAAGAGGAGACTTCTTTTCTCTTAGCAATCACAGATCTGCTGAGTTTCACAGCTATTGATAGGTGAAACATGAGAAAAGGCATCAGTATTCTCTAATTATGGATATTGCAGAGACATCTGCATATTTTTTATAATTATCAAACTAGAACGGACAATGCGATACTGTATACAGAGACTGTTTCAAATGTAACACTCTTATCCTGCTTTGACGAGAGGCCAATGTAAGTCCAACCCTCTAATTTGGCATAAATGCAGCTAACCAAACCAGAGTCAAGAGTGCTCTCCAGTGGGGAAACATCACACTGCAACCCAGGAATCACAGAAGTCCTACCTCTCAGTTTATATTGTTCTCCGCTAGCAGCATTCACTGTGAAAGTATGTGAATCTTCATCACTAGGAGATATCACTGCTCCAGCTAGCTGCAAAGTACCGCGTGGCTTCTGGTTTCTGGATTGTTCGTTCACAAAATACTCCAAAAGGCCAGCTTCATTGTTTAAGACAAAATACCTATAAATGAGAAACAAGTAATATAAAAATCACCAAGTTTTTACAAATAGCAATATAAAGTCCAGATAATATATCTTGAATCTGGACTTCATTCATGTCAAAGAGAGCATGTTGTAACCTGAGGTCTGTTCAGGGAACACTCCCACTGCTCTATGAATGTAGCATGCACTGCACTGTACGTGCACTAATATGTATGTGTATGGCATGTGCTGTTTGTGAATTCCACCAGCATCTCTGTGTGCTCTTCAAATGCTCCTTCAGAGTGACTGTGGACTCCATCAAACAGCATAGGAGGTAGGACTGGAGACTGATGGATCAGCAAAACTCCCCCCCCCACACACACACACAACTTCTGCTGCTGGGATCACTGTTGATGGCAATATTCATTTATGCCCAGTAGGCTGATGATCTTTTTGTTATCTTCAATATTTTGTATTCAGTTCCAACCACGGTTGGTAAACAAATTGGGAGGCTATGTTCTGACATCAAGATAAACTATCCACACGAAAGTAAAACATGATGAAAAGGCAAAAGTGTTTGGAATTTTTTTTAAAAAAAAAAGTGCCAGTGAATGGGACCGGTTTTATTGTATCAATTTTAATTAGAACTATAAGACTTGGCAAATAATTGGTCAGATATTAAATGAGGCCAAGAACAGTTTGTGTTCTGCTTGCAGACATGTTGGTCAGCTCGCAATACAACAGTGTTTCTTTCTCTTTATTTCTCTCTCTCTCTCTTAATAAATTCCACTGTCACCTTATCAGGGCAGACTGAACCACAAGACAATTCATTTCTCTCTTAATCCATTCCACTGTCATCTTAACAGGGCAGACTGAACCACAAGACAATTCATTCCACAGTCTTCATATAGGCAAGGGACTCTCCCACACAAAAGAAACTTTGAAACTCACTAGAGGGACTTTGCTCTTTGGCTCTCTTTAAAACAACAACAACAACAACAAAAACCTCTCCCACCCCCAGAATAAAGCTGAACATTCTTAGAAGCATTCATCCTTAGCATTCCAGAATTATTCTGAATGGGAAGTTAGCAACCTTGAATAATGTATACCATGACAACCCAGAAGCAACAATTATGATCAAGGTAATTTTTTTAATGTAAGACAGTCAAGTTTTTATACGAGAATGCAGCCAAATACTTCAGTAAGCAAAGTAACTGTGTACCTTCCAAAGTACTGTTCTAATTTCACTTCCAATTTGAGCTACCTAGTTAGTTAAGCTCTTATTTTAAATGCTAAACTAAAATACATAAGTTCAGATATTATGATTCTTTATGTTGTTTGGGGACAAACCACACAATGTGGGTGATCGTGATCTGTATCAGCATTTGCTCACCTAATAGCATCTTCCGGGCAGAGAAATTTAAACCAGCTAATGTCCAAATGTGAGATGGAGTAAAAGTGTAGGTGTTGTTTCTCCAGCACTGATGCTCCACACAAATCTAGAGTTCTGTTTTACAAGAATTTTCAAAGTCTGGGAAGTCTGATTACAGATCTCCCAAGTAACATGAGGATTTATCTTGAGATCATACAACAAACATATACTATCATACATTCTTAAAACCCATCCAATGGTCTTAGGGTTTAGGGATGAGCAAATGGAAGGGCTAGAAAGCATATCAGCATTCATAGCTCATGCATATGCTTTCATGCATATAATCAAGTATCACCACAGGTAAGGAAAAAATCACTCTGTACATTATTTAAAAAGACTTAACTGGGCTTCATTAATACATCAATTACAGTGTTATTAAAACCAGGGCAGCTATCTTGCCATTAAGAAGTACTTCTCCAATCAATGGACAATAAAGAACCAATAATTTTATACAGACTTAACTGAATCACCAATAAAAATAGTACCTGGGGAAACTCAATGCAACAAAACAATATAATTGTCTACACACATATTTCAAATTACAACTGCTCAGGTAGAATCTAACTAACACAGCAGGCTTATGGGAATATCTGGAATACCATTCCCTATGGCTCAGCAAACACAAGTGAAGCACTGATGGATAAGTGGGGGTGAAGTAGTGCATATTTCGATGAGCTTATAAACCTAGAGAGAAAGCACCACAAGTCTCTATGAAGCCTGAATAATACTCAGTTTTTAGAGTATGATAACAGACAGGGTGGGTGAGTGAGCAGTAAGCAGTGGCAGCAAAATTCAGCATCCTCTAAGCCTCTTTAAATATGTTCAGATTAAAAAGAAATTTCAATCCTTTTTTTTTCACATTTTCCCAATTGTCAAACTACAAACAGGAGCTGACATAATGAGATTAGAATTGTACATACACTTACCTTGGAGCAGCTTCTGCTGAAACACAATAACATTTACTTCTGAAGAAATGTGTGTGTATGCATGAAATCTACTCTTCAAAGAAGTGCTTCTATATACTAGCCTTTACAGTATTTTCAATAAGGACAGTCTTCTATCTTGTGATAGTACTTCTATAAAATGTACAATATTTAATCTAAAACAAGCCTCCTTAAAAGTAAAAAGTACAATATTTAATCTAAAACAAGCCTCTTTGCTTCCAATATTAAGATGAGATCTATGTTTCAGACTTCTTTCATAGCTGTTTTTTCTTCTGCACTGTCCTTTGATAGGTAAAACACACAAAATGTGTTGGCTAAGCAAAATATCAACACCTCATGAAATTAAGATTTTTTTCTTAAATTAGAGAGATTATTACTGCAACTTTTCTGCTCTTGACTGTAGTTCACTCACTTTTTCCTAAAACTGTACAAAAACAATTCGGTCCTCCCCTATTTGCAGAATTTTAAAACAAATAAGCTGCCTAATGAACAAGGTGATTACAGTTAATCCAATTAGATCCCAAAGTAGTGAAATTTTAAGAAACCAGACTTACCGGTATTGCCAGCCTGTGACAAGATTGGTGTATTTCATTAAGTAGCCAGAAATATTTTCCATGTGATCGCTGTGACAAATGTAAGAACAAAGCCCATTAGCTAAAGACAAATAATGACAATTAAAACATTTCACATAAATGTTCTGTAGCTTCATATTTGCAGCCTAAATAGTTTTTTGGTCACTTTATTTTTAAGAGCCGACTTAAGAGCTCAGCATAAATGATAAATAGCTCATGAGACAGAGGCTGCTTCAAGTGCTCACTGTCTCGCTCACTCTGCTTGTCTTTGCAGTGCTTTCAACGCTTTAAATACCCGTACCAGACTGCAGATTAAGGGAAGTCCTTTCAAGCATTGCTAATGCAGAAACCACTTTCGATCCACAATAAAATTACTGGGCACCTCGTGACACTTACTTCTTCAGTACTAAGATTAAATTACTCAACACCCTTAAGACTTCCAATTTCCTCCAAGGATTACTTTGGGGTTCTTGGGCAACTTTTCACTATGAAAATCACTGTCAACTAAGACTAAAATAATAGGCTTAAATAGAATGGAAATTAATTATATATCATTGATATTCCCAGAGTCAAAGAAATAAAATCAACGGACACTAAAAATGAATGGGAAAGATGATTTTTATTTCCAAACAGACAAACATATATAATCCTTGGAACTTGTAAGTATACATTACAAATTATGATCCTAACTGGAAATGGGTATCGAGCAGAAAGTTGCAAATGACTGGCTTACAATAATACAGCAACTTAATAAGACAAACCTTTTGCCTGTACCAGCAAGCTCTTTAACTAGAAAGTCACTAATTAAATAAGAAATGATGGTTACCAGCCTTGGAACAGACTAAGATATAAACAAAATCTAAATTGGTTTAGTATTTTGTCTTGTCCTGAAGCTGGTACAACACTGGAGGCCATGTTTATCTGGAAGCTTCCTGATTTGACTGCAAACGCCACATAAGGAGAAGCCAGCTTGTGCACTTATTCTACTAATCTGAAATATAATCATCTAAATGTGTCTACTGCATCAACACACAGTCTCAGTGCTAAAATCAAGGAAGATTTAGAGGGCTGTGTTCTCCATATATTTTATTTCTACTTGACACAGCCAACTTGGAGAAAGGCATACGCAATACTTTATGTGCTTTAGGAAGCCAGCTAGCTCATGATTGTCACCAATGGAAATGTGTTTTCTGTATCAGTAGCATTTCTCCTTTCTAGATGATGAAAACATACCCACAACTTTCCATTTGTTCACACCATCATCTCACTATCACTGGTGCTATGTTACAATCCTATGCAAATTTACTCAGAAATAAGCATCACTCATTTCAGTGGAACTCACAGATAAATCTGTATAAGGTTGTGTGTAGTGGACAGACCCAAAGTTTACATGTTGTAATTCCTTGTCAGCTAAACTAGCTTAAGTAAAATATGCTTTCTTTTAAAAGGAGAGGAATAACAGTTATTACCACATATATGATTCTTAATACATGTTCTATAAAGAAAAAGATGTTGTTGAGGGAACCCAAAAGACTCATTTTCCATTATAACTACTTGCATATGACCTGTACTGCTTTTTCCCCATGTAAAAACATTCTGACCTCAAGGCAATTGTTGGTGAAGTGAATGGATACATCAGCAATTGATAAAGTCAGTGACACTGCTACTAAATGACACAACACTAACATAGAGAGACACACTTACAAAGATTTAAAATGCACAGACTATATTTCTGTCCACTGGACTGAAAATATATTTCATGATAATAGCTGGACAGCTTTCAACATCTATAAAATATGTTTACAGTTAATATTATTAAATTATTTTATGGAATGAATGCTGAATTCTGCTTTCAAGGTAGACCAAGATGTATTTTGGTGTTTTCATGTCTATTATACAACATTAAAAAGAACTACTCTACAAGGTACACGGCAGCCCATATGAACTTAATAGGGTAGAATTTGAAAAGGATTGGAGCCATCACTAAAAAGGACTGTAATCCTGGCCCATGGTAACCCGCAGAGTGTCAGTGACCCTAAACATAGCTTCCACTAAGGTAAAGGTAAAGGTTCCCCTTGACATTTAGTCAGTCGTGTCTGACTCTAGGGGGCGGTGCTCATCCCTGTTTCCAGGCCTTTAGAGCCAGCGTTTGTCCGAAGAAAGTTTCCATTGTCACGTGGCCAGCGCGGCTATACATGGAAAGCTTCCACTAAAGGCAGTGCTATTACTCAGATTCCACATCTGGCCAAACCTGTTTGAGCAAACTCAGCTCTGTGGCCACTCAGACAACAGCTTCACACAACTTAGTACAAGAAGCAAATGGTTTGAAATCATTTTAGAGACCAATAAAAACTGAGAAGAAACATGCTATTCTCTGTAGCTAAGGGCACCTAGGCAGTGCCTTAATCAAGAAAGTTGGAACCGTTGGAGATCTGCCTATTCCATGTCCAAAATACAGAACCTGCCCTAGATACAATAGTTATCTGATGCTTTTTGCTAAATATGATTTTTTTCCATTTCAAAGCCTACATCAAAGCACCATCTCTTAGAGCTGCACACACAGGGTCTGTGAATAATTGAAAAAGCACAGAACAGGAAACGTTACTTATCGTGACCATGGGACCAAGCAAGGCAAGCAGTAGTACAAAAACCTTCCACATTTCCTAAGTGCGGGATGCTGCATAAACCAGTGTCTAGTGGTTTCCCCGACGCATCAACACAACTATCTTGTCACAATTTGTCGTAGTGCATCTGAATCAATGTACTTTATGTTACAGACTACTAAGCTATTTCAATTTCTTTCATCCCCAAATGATAGTCTTTTTCTGATTAACAGTGTTTTGACTGGCATGTGTAAGCCCTATTGCTCTGCTTGATGATTGTCACCAATGCTCTATGAACACCAGGCACCCAAGAAACCAATTCAGGTCAAAAGAACACATGAGGAAGATCTGGACCGCAAAAGATTTATGGCACAATGAAATCCACAAAACTGTTTTTGCTATGACAGCCTAACGTGACTACCCCTCTGGAAATTGCTAGGATGAATGACTATGTGAACTAAATTGGTTGCCTAAACCCAGGAGAGCAATGTATTTATCATAAACCTAAGAGTATGAAATGCAATTAAAATCTCATTTATATAAAAATTTTCTTGCTAAAAAAAAAAGTAAAGCAACAATCATCGCTACTTCCTATTTTGGGATGCTGAAAAGGACTGAGGAAATCATCACCCTGTGTTTATGAAAATCACAAATTGCTTATAAATGGAACATGTTTAGTAATTTATTAATGTTTTAAAATCAAACTTATGTAAGAAGACACAAAGCATTCTGTATTTAATCTTTTGTAAAAATGGATATGGAGTCAACATTTCTGTGCTGAATAAACAACTGTAAAAGAAATTCTAAGCAAAGGTCTCCATTTGATGCTAAGGCTGAACTAAG